TATTTGAGATTGAATTTGTCAAATCGATGAAAGGTACTTTTATCAGCATGCACATCCAGTAGATCAACATTAAGATCATGACTGCAATGCAATTGTTAACAATCAGAGAGAGGCAGGAAGGGGGGTTTCCACTTCTAAAAGCAAAAACAAATATCAACAGAACAATAAGCATGCCAACCCTGTTAACTGCAGACTCTCAAAGACTTCCTTAAGTGTAAGATATATTCCATCACGAAAAATGACAACCTGCACAATGGAACACAAAAGCATAACTAAGGAGCATTGACTAGAAGTAATTACATAGTTCTTGGAAACAAAAACCAAAGCAGGAGTACTTTTATCTCCATTTATCCAAATTATCATGAAATTAAGCAACAGGCTGAAAGAATTCAAAAAGATGAAATAAAATAATAAAAATTATACCTCATCTGGTTCTTTTCTTAATTTTGACTTAATGAAGCGCAGAAGATGCTTCTGGTTCATGCAAGCAGAATGGTGCACGTGAGTATCAACTTTTCTGATATTGTAGAAATCACGATGGGGTGCACTTTTCTGGGCTAAAAACTCCCGATCTGCATTCACTAACAGATGAAGACGGAATTTCTGTATGGTGGTCAAGTTAAAGATATAAGCACAGATCACAACAAATCACAAAAAGCAAAAGTCCCAAAATCTGAAGGTTATCACCTCCTCAAGAAATCGTAATCGATGATGGCATGCAGACCGAACATTTCCAACGGACATAACTTTTAGGAGGTGATGCATATCAGTGAAAAACGTTGTTGAACTTGCAACAGGGAAAAGATCTGTGGAGTCTGAGAGAGAGAGAGAGAGTGAACCTGCTTGAAGATACTCATACTTGGGAAATTAAAGAACGATACCCAATCATTGAGGTCTACGTTAATGGATAATTCCATCTAGTGCATCATGTGTTGCTTGTGAAGCTTACCGTTTTCACTTGCATAAACGTGTACAACTCCGTCTTCCATCCTAAAGTGGTGCTGCTTGCAAATTAAAGAATAGCTTTTGACATAAGGCATAAAAGAGAAAAAGCATTGCTTCACTTCTTTGCTTTTTGCAAAGCAAACACGGGAAGCTAAACTTCACATCATTTTATATAGATCAGTTAAGCAAATGGCAACTCACAGCAGTGGCTTCAACAGGGACAAAGCAAAGTGGATCATTCTTTGTTCCAGATGCACAAGATTCTCCCACAGTTGCCTTTATCCATGGGGCAACTTCCCTGTAGACATACTTCTCCCGCAAATCCAAACAATCACGAATCATCTTCCATACTTCCTCCTCTTCCTTGTTCATTGACTCTATTATCAGTTATTTTGACGGGAAGATGAAAACCAATCAAATTAACACGAAAGAATTGGAAGAAGCACAAGTCATTTAGGTTGACAAATCATAAATCTAATCAAGAACAAAATCTCATTGATTTCCCCAAAATACCAGATGATATTAACATAAACAATTAAGCAGATAATACATCACTACCACCTACATGCCAGCCAACCAATGATTTAATCAGGAAATTCAATGTGAAAAAGGCTTGAAAGCAATGTGAGTGAATAGACAAAAATTCCAGTGAAATCCCAGGCCCAGGAAGTTTACAATACCATGCACTGTAGCTGTCAGAGGTAAAATAATGTTGGTTAAACTAGGATCATTCCCCATGATGCGCATTGAGGTTGTATCTGCCTTTCCATCACCATATTGATCTACATTTTCCTTTGCTTCATTTGCAATTGCTCTATTTTTCTGTTCTAGAATACAGCTCCTGTTGTCATCATTGAATGGAGAAGCAGATAAATTTTGAATGTTTGAACTGTTATCCTGCAAAACATCAACATATGGCATACTTTACAAGATATCCTTCGAATATAATTCCTTCCACCGCTTCAAAATCAAAAACAATAGCTAAAGAACTTTTCAAGCATAACTTGCAGCTTAAAAAAAACAGATCATTCATGGTATACCAGTGAAAACAATCAATACTCATTCAATGGTAAAATAAATCACTCAACATCACATGTTTCAAATAAGAAGATAACTACACATACATTTAAATTTATACATTCAGCTGAAGAGTCAATGTTCTCATAAGTGTAGAGGTCCTCTCCAGTAGCAAGCTCTGTTCCTTCATCGTCAGAATCTCCTGCACTTCCAAATGCATAGCCACCTGAGGATCTAGGAGTCATTAGCCTACCACCTGATCCCACCCACATAGATTGATCCTGTCCTGAACAAAGAAAAACGGAATAAAAACTGATGCAAGATGTCAGAAATGTAATTCCAAAAACAGGGAAAACAAGGACTAGGGAACAAAAAAATTAAATTAAATTAAATTAATAAATAAATAAGTGCACATATTTGGCTTTAACCTAACCAATTTCTGACAAGATGCAGGACAGTTTTGTTATGTGCAACAACTGCTGATGACTTCACTAGACTAAAATCTAAATAGCTCATTGGAATCTCACATTCTTGGAGATTTAAAAGTTAGGACAAAAAATTTGAAAAAAAATAAAGGCAAGCCCAGAACATTATAAAATTTAATCATTTTCATGTGTAACATTCCTGGCTGACATGGAATCTTATTTATGTTACTAGTAACAAGATTCCAATTTCTCAGTGGGATTCCTGGTAATAGGATTCCAATCCCATGTCTTTAATTCCGACCATCGAAAATTTGCCTTAAGCTCTTCATCTCACTCAAATTTCCTATCTGATAGATACATGCATACACCCACATATCTCAATAAAAATAACTAGGCTTTTACAGTTCATTTGGATTGAGTGATTTGGAGAGAAAAGAAAAGAAATCAATTTCCCTTGGTCCTAGTCCCATGTTTGGATTACTAAAGAGGAAAGAAATGAGGATAAACGGAGAGAAAATGATTTATGTTACAACCTACTTTGTTAACTCTCCAAAATTGGACAGGTTGGGAAAGAAAAAAAAAATGAGATAATTATAACCTGTAAGTGTTTCTTTTCTTTTCTATTATATAGTCTATACAAACAAGATTGGAGAGGAATCACTATCTTTTCTTTTCTTTTCTCTCCAGCTTAACGAATCAAAGGCGAGAGAAAACACAATCTTTTCCTTTTCATTTCTTTTTTCTCTAAATTAAAAGAAATCATTTCTTTTCTTCTCTTCTAGATTCTTAAACATAGAGTTATTCCATGCCATCTAGTTTGTTTGTAAGGCAAACATAAAGTATTTCTAACATCCAGAATTGCTTTTCGCTATCAACTAAACAATAATGTAACAGTGTTAGTGTGTTACAGCTTCATTATCAATATCATTAATCAGAATTACTTTCTTCCAAAATACCACAGTCCAAACTCATTGATCTTACAGATAATCTCGCTACAAATAACTTTATATCCAGGTGAATAATTAAAATAAATGTCCTTTTCGCCCAAATAATTTTGATAGACACAGAGTAGAATAATAACAAAATAAAAATACCATCTTTAGGCGGTAGACTAGAAGGAATCAAATTGGACTTATCCCAAGAATTTGACAAAGCTTGATTTCCAGATCGCATTAACTGATAACATTTGGCCTCATCATCATCGAACCACTGGTTCGATAAACCTACATTCGGCATTGAAGACGAAACTCTGTAGCTACTAAGCAGCACGTTCTCATCCAAAGACCTAGCAGTGTTCCTATCAATCTCAATCTCTCCATCGGAGACGAAATAGCTTCCGCCGCCGTCGTCTTCGGAAGCGAACAACTGATCATCGGCGGCGACGGCGGTGGCGGAGGAAGGGCATCGGCGGCGGAGCTTGATGAGGCGGTCGAGGACTTGGTCGACGGTGCGCTTGTGGATGTAAAAGGCGGAGATCGCCATTACTGAAGCTCCGAACAACGCAGCCAATGCCAAGTGCATGGACGACGAGGCGGCTTGTGAGGAAGAAGAAGATGAAGATGAGGAGGAGGAGTCCATTTTCGGGTCTGTTTGGTTGTTGTGCTGCGTTACGAGTTTTAGGGGTTTATGATCAGTAGTGGAGGTTGATGCAGCCCTTAGTTTTTTTTTAACTTTGTATGAGACGTGTGTTGTTGGGTTTTTTTTTGTTGTGGACAGCAGTGGCGGTTTAGGCGACTGTGTACCGCCGAGAGGAGTGAAGTGTCGTTTGAAGTTTGTGTCAAATGGGACCCTCTTGTCAAATTTTCGACCCCACCTCCCTAAACCAAAAAAAAAATATATTATTTATTTTTATTTCAGTTTTCTTAATTTAATTTTGGAGATTTTTTTTTAAGATCTTTGATATTAAGATTTTATAACATAAAGGACATTCCATATTTTTATAATGTTTGAGGTCCTTCAAATCAAATCTAAGAAAATTCAATCCAAAAAGATTCTCTGGTCCAAGCCAAAAAAAAATTCAATTCAGAAAAAATTTCTGGTCCAAAACCAGAAAAAATTCTCTGAATTGAATTTTCATAATGTCTGGGAAATTTCTCTGGTCCAAACTAGAAAAAATTCAATTCAAATTAGAGAAATTCTCTTTGATTTACTTATAATTTCCTCTTATTTGTTTACCATTTTATTTGCCTTCAACAACAACCACCATCTAGGTTTGAATTTTTCAGGTCTAAACCAAAGAAATTCTTTCTAAACCAAGGAAATTCTCTATGATTTACTTATCATTTTCTCTTATTTGTTTTACCATTTTCTCTGCCTTCAACAACAACCATTTGAATAAATCAACCTCAACTGTGGATTAAACAACAGATTTAAGAACATACATTAATGAGACGAATGAGATCTAGGGTTTACAGATGAGGGGAAGGAAGAAGACCACGCCTCCATCTCCTTCTCCTACTACCTCGACGCTGTAGAACTGAAGTTCGAGCTTGCCATTCTTCGGTACCGGAATCTCTCCAGTACCGACGACTCCACGTAGCCCTTGTTGTGTCACTACTGTTAAAGACTGAATTGTTGAAATCTAGCGAAGTCAAAGGCTTCATCATTGGCATAAAGACCATGCGAGTTCCGAGAGTAAAGCCTGAACCAACCCTATTTCCAAGCAAAACTTGAGCTGCTTTGAGAGATTTCAAAGCTATCTTTGAAAACACAGAAGAGAGAAGAGAGAAGAGAAAACAGAGAGAGAGAATGAGAGATTGTTATATATGGGCGTGGATGAGGGATCTTAGACTACCAAAAAAAAATTATTGTGAATCTCTCCCATTACTAAAAGTTGGAGAGGGATGTTAGACTAATTTTCCCTTCAATTTTTTAGAAATTGAGCTTTTTATTTTTTATATTTTTTTGTCTTTACTGAATATTTTTAAAATTTGAAGCAATTTTTTAATTTTTTTTAGATGCACCTTACTTAAATGTATCCAAATAGTAAAATATTTGTAAACAAATATTTTAGAAAATTAATAAATATACAAAAATATGAAGAATGTACTGAATTTTATTTTTATTTTTTTTGTATTTTTGGTATTTAGTGAATTTTTTAAAGATTTTTTTTTTTTTTTGCAAAAATTGCACTTTTTAAGTGTATTATGTTAGGTATGTCTAAAAAAAAATTTAAAAAAATGCTTAAATTATTAAAAAAATTTAGTGAAAACAAAAAAATACGAAAAATTAAAAAAAATATAATTTTTTGAAAAGTGAATTCTGAAAACTGAAACCAAACAAAGTGATTAAAATTTTATTCCAACAGAAAATTGCGACCGTGTTTGGTTTGCCTTTGGAATCATGATTTTAAAGGCAAAATTTTCAAATCACTTTTTAAAATTCATAACCAAATACACAACTCAAAACTCAATTCAAAAATTAATTTCAAAACTCATAACCAAACACACAACTCAAAACTCAATTCAAATTTTTTTTCAAAACTCAAAACTAAAATCTTTTCAAAACTCTATTTTAAAAGACAAAATTCAAAAAAATATATATTTTTTTAAATTATTTTTAGAATCATGATTTGAGAATGTAGTCGTATTTTGAGTTATGAGTTTTGAAAATAGAAAATTTGTTTGGTTATGAGTTTTGAGTTGTATTTTAAAATTTTTTGGATTTATTTTTTTCAAATATTTAAAAAAATTCTTAATTTTATTTTTTAGGATAAATATTTTATATTTTAAATATTTATTTATTTATTTATGTGCACTTAGTATTCATTACAGTTTATATGTTGTATTTTTTTTAATATTAAAAAAAATTTAAAATTATTTTTATTTTAAAATGATTTATTTTGTTTATAAATATATTTTTTCATATTTAATTTTTTTTTTTTGTTATTGTTTGGTTATTGATTTGAGTGTGTTTGGTTATAATGTTTGAAATCATTTTTAATTGAAGTTTTGAGTTATTGTTGGTTTCGATGAAGAGTGTGAATTTTGTTTTAGTTTTAAAATAGTAAAAATAAAAAAATAAAATAGTTACATCAATAAATAAAATTAAAAAATATTTAAATAAAAATTAAATATTTAAAATAAAAAAATAAAATTTCTTAACCTTTTTTTAATATTTAAAAAAAATATATTCCAAATAATTTTTGTCAAAATACAACTTCAAAATTCACCCCAGACTCATATACTCAAGAATACAAGTCAAAGAACTTTAAACTCTAAATTTCCTTCCCAAAATTCAAAATGTCAAAAAAACTCTTTTGCAAATAACTTATAATCAATCAAGTTTTTTTTTTCATAACTCCAATCTCACAATTTTTACACTCTAAATAACAATTCTTCGTGAAAAACGAGTATGCAATTTTCAAACTAAACCTAAATGCAACCTAAGTAGTTTTTTAGTAATACCAAGGTCCGAGATCTCAAGTCCGATTTTTCCCTTATCATCTAATTTTATTATATTTTTAAAGAGAAAATGATGAGACCACGTGACGTAAGCAAACAAACAATAAATTACCAATGGATAATATTATGTAAACACTCCTCAAAAAAGTGTTATCATATGCAAGTTATAAATAGGTTTAAATTGGATACCACAAATCCTATGAAAAGTCAAAAAGTAAAAAAATAAATATAAAATGTAAACCAAACACCACATAATATATAAATAAAAGTCATGGTTATATATCAATATAATGATCATAATTAACATACATGTGACTCAAACTACATTCCAAGACTGTATAGATAACTTTCGTCATAGCTAACACTCTAAACTAAGTTTCATTATAACCAAATATACAAACATCTTAAGATTTATAAGCCTATTCATGGAAATTAATTACTTGAAGATCCCGGATTTATATAATATTTATACCATTAATTTTATTTTTTCCACCTGCACAAACATATTACTTCGTTCAATTAAATTTGAAGGTTATAGTCTCTATGCTATTGTAGTATCAACATTTAAGGTAATTGAACTCCAATCTAAAGATACAACGTTTCCAATCGTTTTTTTCAAAAATAGATATTTTTTAGTGTTACTCAAATGCACAAAAATTATACCTCATTTAAGTGTTATCTTTTAAAAGTGTTTATAGGAAATATGTTTAAGGTAATTGTGGTGGTGGGAGATCTGTTAGACATATTTTTTAAGTGTTTGACTTTTAATTAGTCGTCATAAATTATTTTGTATTTTAAATTAGTCTTATTATTGAAGACGTATTGATATATCAAATCTTAATTCTCAGGGTATTATAAGTATTTATGGACATGTTCCTACTTACAGATAGTTTTTTAAAATGTAGTAGATGTTGATTGAATTATTCAATTTTATAATGTGATATATCCACATTGACGTGTGAATGTCGCATTTGAAGCATGTTGAACATTCACCTGATGGGTATGAAATTAACGGGTTGTGAACATTCCACATTCACAGAAGACTTTATGGTTTACTATGGAAATATTATTATGTTATTTTGATAATTATGTCACCTATGAAAATTTATTATAAATAAAAAAATAATATAAATTGAAAATGAAACGATAAGTAAGTCTTAAAAAGAATGATGAAAAAGTGTCCTCTTTTGTATATATTTATTTTGGCAGAATAAATTTGTTGTTAAGTGTTTTCTGTTTTTGGACAACAAGCCATCTGATATATTTGAGCCAAAAAGTGTCATTCACAAGAAATAGTAGAGCATATCCTCACACATTTCCGGCGCTATAATCGATGATGTGAACTTCAGATTGTGGTTTAAGATCTGATTACTTTTTGACAGATATGAAAACAGACAACCCTCAAATCTACCAACGTTTATATAAAAATAATTGATGCCAACTATAGAAAATTTGTTCCTCGGTTTTGGATGATGAAGGAACAGTGGCATTGTACATCTGCCGCAGTGCTTAAAACCTAGTCAAACCTTGGCTTGCTCCGAATGGTCATACTTCAAATGCAATGGGAAGCAGTGGTTTTTGAGGAAGTGTACACATGTTTAGATGTGTATTGTTTTTCCTTTTTACCCGATATGTATATATTGTTTATATTATTGGTCATAGTATTGAAGCATTGGAGGAAGCCTAATCCAAATTATCAGATCGTCTTTCTTTAACACAAAACATGCCAACTAGTGAAGGTAGGGTTCCGGATTTCGGACATTGAGATTATTTTACTGCTGATTTGATATGGAGAATTTGGAAAGAGATTTGATAAAGGAAAAGGGAAAAAGTGTGTTGAAATTAGTGGTAGATGTAGGATATAGTTTATTAAAATTTTTATCTACCTTCCATTTTTCTTTCAAGTCTCTTCCTCCAATCCCTCCAACAGAACACGACATTAATCTAATGATAATTAACCCCATTTTTAATGTCCTTATATATACAGAAATAGGATTGGAAATGAAATGTGTTTAAAATTGAAACATTAGGACCAAGTATTTGGGAAAACTCAAGTGAAACTATAAAGTTTTGTTAGGCAAAAGTGTATAACGAGCTTTTTTTTAGTTATAAATAATTACAAAAAAAGACAAAATAAACTTTTACTCAATAAGACCAA